TTTGATTTAAGAGGCACGACGGCTACTGCAGGAAAATGTTAACTTTATAGCTGCAAAAATATTTTGGTTATTAATAAACACTGCTAAGCTTTCTGTGCTCAGTGGTTGAATTAAAATGCTGAGGTAATGATCTCCTTTGTGCTTGAGGAAGTCAAGCAGGGGGTTGCTACAGAATATAGAAAGAGTTTACGTAATCTGTTTTGAATTCAGAAATAAAATCCTTTTGATTAACATTGTACCTTCTCCCTGTAGACATTGATTTAAAACTGCATTTTTAATCAAAGATTATTCTACAAAACCCCTAAGGAATTGAATAGCTTATAGGATATTGCTGGTAGATTCAAGCATTGGATAGGGGGTCAATTTATTTGAGATTGTGCTGTGAGAAATACAGTTTCTACTGTCTAAAGACTCAGAAGACAGTTTCATTCTACTCCCCCGGGCCTCAGATGAATACTTCCAGTTTCTTTGGTTAATTATTCATGCGGATGTGAGTTTTAAATCCTGAATGCTGTCTGCAACCTGCCCCTATTTTTTCCTCTTTTGTTTTCAAGCTTTCAGCTCTAACCGTATTCTCAGGCTGCGTTTTTGTGTTATTGTCTTCCAAATCAAACCACAGCTGTGTCTTATGGCTTTCTATTCCTATGTGAGTTCTTTCTAACATGTCATGTAGGGTTTAAAGCCATTGGATACACAGTGGAGGGTCAACTGAGGAACTGTGTTTGACCTTTTGACATACTTTTATTTTTAAGATGTCTTTACTATTCTTTTCTGTTATTTGGAAATCTTATTCAAGCCCACCCAAACAAAGTCAATGAACAACACAATCCAAACATAAAGGTGTGATCATGTAAGTTTATCTTCTGTGGAATTTGGGCCCAGCTATTTGTAGCATCTAAAATCTTATGTAATGACATCAACAAAAGCTGCTAAATCTACATCATGCATCTTTCCTAGCATCAGACTTTTGGAGCTGTGGAACAAATATAGATATTTTGAGTTTGAGCTTTTTTTGTGTGTGTGTGTGTGTGTGTGTGGGGGGGGGCTGCTTGGTTTTCATAAAAGTTGTGGCTTTGCAGATGGTCAAGGAAATGAAACAGTTCTTTTCCTGCTGCTGTCAGCCGTTCTACAACTTCCACGAACAGCTTGGAGCTCTCATTTCATCTGGGAAGTTTGATGTGGAAGTCACAACTCATGCATTCAGAGTGTTTCATTTAATCACTGTAAAATATTCTATGCCACCTGTTATTTTTAAGTGGAAGTTCAGGATTTTTTTTTAAAGCTTAAAGCTTGTCAGGGCATTAAAAATTTTTCACACCATTTCCTCAGGTAAGGACAACCTGTCTAGTTTTACCAATGTAAGTTAAAGTTTAAGTTGTATCACATCATTACTATCTAACAGAGCTTGAAAAAGATAAAGCTCTAAAAATCCTGAATCTACCACAAACAGCGGTTACAAATTGTTACTGATCCTGAAAGAATTAGACCTACGTCACTGATGCTGATACAGTGGTACTGTTCTTTGTGTTCTTGCATCTAAAAAAATATATATATATAATGGCCTTATGGTTTTCCTATCAATAAAATGAATGAGGTAAGATTAATCACTCCAGTGATACAGTAGTTACTTCCTATAGGACAATTATCGCTAATCACCAAAATTATGATATGAACCAACTGCAAAATCCTGTTTATCTTGTTGCCTATAAAAGGCTGTTAACATTTCAGTGGTTGTAAGAGAAGTTCAATTAGAGACAATTATTACTTAACAGTGATAACAGGATAGCAGCATGTGAAGACTAGGAACATGAAGAGCACGTTATGCCACAGCTGGAATAGATATAGAAATATATTCATACTTGGAGGTGAAAAAAAGATGTTTTATATCAAGGGAAATATAAAAAGATTCCTGTAAGCAAAGTGTCTTTGGCTACATCTTTTCGATCCAAGAACACTTTCCTCTCCATTACTTAGTTGCAATGTTGTGGTGATCCAGTTTTTGACCTGTCTATTTAAATAGACGTATTTTCATTCATCTTGTTTACTTTGTTAATTTGCCTGAAAATAAGAGCTATTGGATGTCCAGTATTCATGGTTCTCATTAACTTAAAGTGAACTGGGATCCAAATTCAAGCAATGATTATGCGCTGACCTGCAGCAGTACTTAACCGCAGTCACAATTATAACATTTGTCGAATGAAAAATTGACATTTATTAATCCCTCATTTTGGCTTAAATTAGTGATAGAGCTGCCTGTTTAATGGTACTTTGCATTTTAATATTATTATTGCTCATTTTTGATCGAGGTCAGAGGATACCATGCAATAAAGATCCCTTAGCTCACTGAGCTCTCATAGCACTTGTATAAAGCCTTTTGAATGTGGCCTCTCATGCTTCATCCACCCTCCCCGTTGAGTAGATTTTTCAAAGGGATTCCAAGAGCATTCAGTCTTCTAACCGCAGTACCTCTCTGTTGAATATCTCATGACTTTGAACTTGAAAGTATCTATATCAGGCTTACTGAATAAAATTGTATTTCTCAGAGCAAAGCAAATATAAGCAAGTCAGGTCTCAGATGACTTGAGTGCTTTTGATTTGAGACGTTTTATGTTAATCATAAAACTTTGTGTATGCATTTCAGATACAATCTGTGTATCAACGTTTAACGCCACAATCTTAACTATAAATCTACTGTGTGTATTTTATGCTTTGCTGCATGCTTGATGTTTCAAACCACAACAGTAAAACATCACTTAAGGCCAACAAAGGGCATCACAAAATATTTCATTCATTGGAACAGTGATGCACTGACCGTGTGAGTTTATCATACAGTTTCCTGACCTGCTTTCTCTGAATCATTGGCTAAACCTGCTGGGCGACAAGTACAACACTGTGAATCAATAGGGAAAGGTGGCCCTCCACTGTTCAGTGGTAAAATGTGACAAAAAAAGATTCAGAGTCCAAGTATGCAAGTATTTTTTAACTAATAATAAAACAGTGTACATGTACACAACTGATGAATGCCAATTAGGCAATTCCAATCCCCTCATCCCGCTGGATATCCCCACTGCAAACAAATGTTGTTTTTCTCACATCACAATGTGTTGATCTAATCTAAAAATGGTACAGTTCACAAAGTTCACAACAGTAAACAGCACAGCAGGTGATCAAGTCTATTCAACTCTCAAATATCAATACACTGCGATGTAAACACCTGCTGTCTTTTCATTTCATATTTGCATTTGCAGAGCAGCAAAATAGCAAAGTTGTCATCTAATTAAATACGTTTTCGTTGCTTTGCAGCAAAGACAAACAACCTATCTATTGTTCAGAGGTTCCATTTTGCTTCATCCGTTGATGTTTTGATTGGCATTAAGTGGTACTCATGTAATGCAATCCTGTTTGACCATCTTATCCTGTTTCTTTTTGTTTTATTTCACCTCTGGACCTTGGGAAGGGACCATTTGCTTTAAAAGCTCCCCCGCTTTCACTTTTATTATTCATGGTACAAACTGTTTTACCCTAAAACAGGGAACTGTTTCTCGTCACTCCAGAACCTACCAGATGTTAGGGGGGTACCGGGTGATGAGTTTTACTTTGTACAGCCACCCGGGGTCCAATAACCTTTTTTTTCTTTTTCAGGTAGACCCCAGGTGTATGTAACCATGATCCAGGTAATTTTATTCAAACTTGTTTAATACTGATACTGATAATACTGAGGCCTATTCCTAGAAGATTTAATGAGTTGGAGTTGTTGATTTTCAAAGCAACTTAACCAGACAATCAATGTGTTTGTTGGAGCAAATAGCTTATGTAAGTCTTGTTGGAAAAAAGTCCTTAATGGCACATGTGGCACTCCTTGCCTAACAAGCAATGACCTTTTTAATAATCTGTTAACAGGTGTTACAAAAGGAACTACTTACCACTTCTTCTACGTGCTGTACTAGGTGGTTGCATCCAGTAAAAATGGAGCAGCAGAATGCACCAGAGACGCTGCAACTCCATCAGCGAACAAAGCCCGGGTCAAACCTGGAGGTCAAAGGTATACAGTCAACTGGCAATGGCTTGGCTGGAGGAACTGGCTCTTAAAACTGCAAAAGCTGATGTTTTTTGGCCACTTGGGGGCAGCAGAAATAAGCTGTAAACACAGAATTGACATATTGTCACAGTTTAAGTTGATATGGTGAACTTGTTTGCAAATAGTTGCTTATTTACACATTCAGCAGAAACATTACCATTCATTTAGAGTTAAAAATGTAAATTAGATCCAAAAACATTTAATAACATTTCTCCCTTTAATCGGCTAGAAAAATATATTTAAGACCTTTGTAAATGAAAGATTATGTAAAACCTCTCAAACCCTTCCTTTGAGAAAACTGAAATCAAAACTTTCAAACTTTTCAAAACATGGTAATACCATGTTTTTCTGCTATGAAAAGTCAAAAAATGGGTTAATATTAGATTATATTATTACCTTATTCAATTTAAGTAGTTTTAATTTGATTAAAATCATTTCTGTTTTAACATTAACAGCTCTTGACTTCCATATATGTTGAAGAGCTGAATAACTGCAGTTAAAGATTAACATTTCAAAGAACACATTCTGCTTACTAGCTTGCAAGCTAATTATAATCCAAAATATGATAACATATAATGCCTTCTAAGTTTTGTATTCTAGAGTCATCATTTCATAAATGTTTAAATGAAGTCTGATCATTATCTGTGATGAAGCTCAAAGCTAGCCAAACTTGTTAGTAGCTAGTTAGCTTGCAGTGCTTGTTTGCTTAGTGCCATTCAATGCGACTTACTTACTGTCAATCAAGTCATCGGTTGCAGCTGTTCTCAATCGAGTCAGTGTTATTCTCAGGCCACAGGCAGAGGGCTTCTCCGAGCAGCTCCGCCGGGTTCGTCCGACTTTAAACACGTCTTTCCACAATTACAAGGGACAGCCAGGCGCTGAAGTTTTAACTAGTTGTTATATCCCGCGTCGTCCTTGTGACATGCCCGTGTTTGTGGAGGACCCCGCTCATCTCTCTAAATCTAGACTGAAATCAGATTTAGTTGCCCACAATGTCGAGCTGCCACCTGGCAAGAGCAAAAAGGAGGTTTATGTGCAGTTGCATTTAAAACACATCGATCAGAAAAACGCAGCGGATTTCTCTAGCGACGAGGAGGATCAAGTACAAGATGTAGCTGTGAGTTGATCAGCCTTTGGCGTTTTGCACCATTTTTTTTTTTTTGAGAAATAAATACGTTATGCATAACTTGAGTATAATATTGTGCTGTCAGTCTAATTTGAAAGACCAGTAGTGACACAAAAGTTTTTTCCAACCTACTCTACTGAGAAAGGGCACAAATTATCAAATCAGTTTTCGTCTTTGCACAGTGGTAGAAGTACTTTTACCTAAATAAAGGTACCAGAACAAGAATGTGTAAATACTCCATAACAGGTAAAAGTCCTGCATTCAAAATCCTATTTGAGTTAAAGGTACACAAATCTGTTTTTCAGTTGTGAAATATTGGATCATTTGAAATTATAGTTGAATTTGAAAAAAGAAAAAAAAAATCCATGTGAAAAGTTAAGAGAAGAAATGCTTCTTTGGAACTGATAACAACTCACACATCTGGAATGTGACATGGGGCTCCACATAGTTACACCTTTTTTGCTTGGGCCCACAAACCAATAAAGTTGTGAGCTGCTGGTTTAATGTTAAACAACTAATTGTTTCTCAAAAAGTATCTAAAGCTGTTAAATAAATGTAGTGGTGTAAAGAGTATGAAGTAGCATTCAATTATAGCTGAATACTCAAGAAAAGAACAAGTACCCCAGAGTACAGTGCTTGAGTTAATGTAATTAGTTACTTCCCCCCACTGCAGTTGTAAATATGTTTCCTGGTAAAATATATATCAATCAAGTGGTCTCCAAGGACTTTACCATTATAATTTAATATATAAGGGCTATTACGGCAGTATAATGATTAGTTAGAAGTGATTTTAAACCAATGCTGCTGGTAAGCAGCTGAGGAAAGGAGGAGGGGGAGATCTGGGTCACTGCTACCAAACAGTCTTCTCAGCTTGCTGTAGCACACTGGAGGTCCTTGACCATTTAGCCACCTGCTGTATAGTTGGTATAGATTTACATGAGACGTTTCTGTAGTCAGTGGGCTGCCATTACTAACGTGTGCATATGCTTGCCGCACCTGTCACACTCATTTATGTGTGCAAGGAAGAGCACTGCAACTTGAAACAACTTGCTGCACTTTTCAGCAAGTTGTTTCTGTGCTGTGTCATGGGGTGGAAAGACTGGCAGAGAGCATAAACACAACTGTGTTCTTAAGTCGGGGTAGAGTTTAAAGTTTAGAAATTGCTGCAAGATTTGCTCTCTAGACCCAATGCTGCTATTTAGAGCTGAAATGATTAGTCAATGATTAGATTAAGGGACTTGGCAGAAAATTAATCTGCAACTAAATTGATGGACAATTTATACTTTAAGTAATTTTTCAAGTGAAGTATTCTGTTTCCAGTCTCTCAAATATAATGATTTGCTGTGTTTTCAGTTTTATATAACTGTAAATCGAATATCTTTCATTCTTCAACTATTGGTCCGGCAAGACAAGCAAATTGAAGACTGTGCTCCAGGAAGCTTTGATGGTCATTCTTCCACTTTGTTAGTGACATTTCAAGATCAAAATGATCAAGTAAATCCTGAGATAATTGGCAGATGAATCAATTAAAGATAATTGTTAGTTGCAGCTGTCCTGATACTAGAGTGTTTCCCTCAAAGGATAACTCATGTTTTTCTTATGGTGAGCTGTGAAAAACATATCTATAGTACTTTACAGTTCAAGAATAATCACATTAGTACTCTTAACAGACGGCATCAATACTGATTTAGCTGGACGATGCTACTCTGTAAGTTTGTGTTGTAGGAAATGTATACAATAGGGTCGGTCTGATGAACAAAATATAGTATAATGTTGACATGCTTTGTAAATGGCTCTCTATATTTTCTCAGATGTGTTATATACACCTTTTTTTTTTTGCATATAACTAGGGATACACAAAACCAACCTTTTCTCCTCTGATACTGATACTTCATCTCAGGCTACATGCCAATACTGAGTACTGATCTGTTCTCTTTTTCCCACGTTTAAAATCTATGTACTGCACTTTGTGGAACTAATTGGAACCACGGTTATGTAACATGAAGCCAGGGATTGATGTAGCATTAAAAGCAGCCGACTGTGAAACACTGTTTTATGACACTGATAAGGAAACTGTGTTTTATGTGGATTGCCTTATTCCAGATCTGTTTCATGCAAATACTAATATGTGATAAACCATTATCTGTTGCTAAAACAATCCCTCTTATATGTTGATTGGGCTTCACTATAGGCCTGTCTTTCATTTCCTATTTTTCTGTGGTTGTTGATTTGGAATCACAATAGGTAGATGTGAAAGCAGAAGATTTACACATAAACATTTGTGAGCTGCAAGCCTCCAGCTGGTTTTTAAGCTCTATATCTCACACTGTGAAAGTACTGGCATTCAAGCTGCAGCTTTTGTCATGTCGTGAACAACATTCGGTAAATTCGGCAAATTTTGCTTTTGAGGACGAGCGGGAGAAACCAGAGGATGCAGAGATGCCCGACCCGAGTGGTTTGACTGATGATGACCTCAAGGCTGCATTGCTCGTACACGGGGTTAAAGCCGGACCCATAGTTGGTGAGGTTGCACTTAATACTGTCTTCAAATTATATTTCATCATAGAAATAGGATTCCTGTCATCATGTTCACGTCCAGTTTGCCCCTGTCTTAAAAAAAACAAATTACCGTAATATTGTTTGCCTATTGCTAGCATCCACCAGGGCCTTGTATGAGAGGAAGCTCAGCAAACTGCTTCAGTCTGATGGACATTACCAACTTAATGGAGCAGAGAAAGGTATCTTGTACTCTGACAGTGAAGAGGAGGAGGAAAATGGAGAAGAGGATGATGCAGAGTCAGGTATGACCTGAAATAATAATATATATTTTTTGTCACATAATCATATACTTTGACAAGTCAACTTTATTGTCATTCATCCACATAAAAAGTATAGGGCTGAAAGAAATGTCAAAGTAGTAAGACAAAGAAAACAGCCCAAACTAAGAAAAACAGAACTATGGAGGCGGGTGTGTTGCATATGACTACTGGGGCTGTGTGCACACTTGAATGTAAATACAGTAAAAAGTATCAGTGATATATATATATATATATATATATATATATTATATGTGTAGGCCTATATATGTGTATGAGTGTGTATTATTGTCTGACTTATAGGTGCTGAAAAAGAAAAACAAACAGTTGAACAGTCGGATCAGGCCCAGCAAGAGAGCAGCCAGGTGAGAAAACTAGGACGTTCTTGATATCTTGGGTATATGATTTAAAGTTTCTGTCTACATGAACCTCTTGAAATGCCTGAAATCTGGGAGCTTACACTATCTTTATACTTTTGATGGTTAATAGATCTTCGTATTGCATTTTGCCATCACTTGCCATATTGAAATCAGTCATCCCTACAGTGCCACTTAGTGGTTACAGATTACAACTGTAAAATATGGTTTTAAATGTTAAGCACAGGCATTTTGAGTGTTAGTGTTTTTTTTGTTTTTTTTTCTTCCCCAGAATGATGCTTTTGCTTACCCACAGTGTTTTTTACCCTCATCAAGACTGGTAAATACCACAGATACTTGTGTGTTTGCTCAAATTTCTGTCAGACTGAGTCTCAGGGGGGGACTAATGTGTCTTATTTCTGTGTTGGATTGGATTGGCCTTTTCTAGCATGCGAGGCCTACTAGAAAAGGGGAACCTAGTGTCAAGTGGAATTCAGGGAATGCGTTAAAATCATCAGAGCGGAGTGGGTCTCGCTGGTCACAGATTCCCGCAGGAATTAGTAGAGCATCCTCTGTAGATCAACGCTCAGGATTAGGATCAGGGGTAGGCTGGTCTCACTTCACATCTCTTGTGGATTTTAAATTCTCTGCATTCCTTGCTTAGACTTTGTGTGTCCTTCTCAAGCCACTAATGGGATATGTTTCGTCTCAGAGTGATGGGCGTTGGTATCTCACTGGTGTATAGACTGGGTGATGACTGATACATGTTTGTGTTTCTGTCAATATGATAATAATGTTAATCCTTGCAGGTTCCGTCTGGATCACAGTTAGTAATGGCCAGTAGTTGCTCATCATCTTCCTCTCAGACCTTCAGCATCACTGAAATGGTTGAGGAGGAAAGTTGTATTTAAAGCCTCATTCCACTTCTTTAAAAATCACCCTTTAATTTAATTGTATTTCTGAGTGTCAGTAATCACTTAGTAATGTACATTCTCACTCTAAACAACAGATGGAGAGTCAGAGGTCACTCTCTACTCGAACAAACACTGAGAGAGAGTTGAATGGGAGCAATGTGCAGGAACATTGGTCACGCTCCAACAGGGTCAGTAGTTCTCACACTGTTCAGTCACACTTTGAGCTCAAACTTTGGTGGTTGAAGTGTTGGAGCAGTTCACTGGAGGCGGGAGGATATTCTACAGAAATCGAGTGTGTCATAATCTGTTACGTCTCCTTTCCTTAGCTGGACGTGCCAGTTGTGGACAAGTGCACCATGACGAACCAGTCCGTGTACTACACCCCCGGGGCTTCCCCTCATGAATGGGGAATGAAGGCACATGCATCTTCTTGCTGGCTTTTGTTTTTCTGTTTTTATTCCATACGACTTGCTGGGGGCATGCGCATTTCCTACAACAACACACTACGTTTGGTGTAACTCCTTGCATATGTCAGTGTTAAACTAGAAAATTAGACACAATTACCCCAACAGTTGCTCAATTTAAATATTTTGTCAGTATGTGTCAGATCACCCTTTTCTCTCATTTTTTACCAGACTGGCTGGGCCTCTCTGTGGGACACTGCTGTCTAGGATAATTTTCTGCCTGGTTGTTTCTGGGAGTAATTTCTGGTTTCTTTTCTAGCTTACTCAGGAGCCTGTGAAAGATACTTTCAAGGACATATTTCCAGATGCTGAGACCACACCCACGGGGATCTAGTAAGTGCTCTTACTCCACTTCACAGGTTTGTGAGTTGTTGTTGAATGAGAGACAGATTTCACTGAAGTACAGGAATTGTAATTGGTGATGGGTGACACATGGACAACTTGCATAGTAACACATACAGACACATGGTAGGAGTTTTGTGATTGCATTATCAACAAATATATGCTGGTGATGTTCTGTGAGAGTTTGAGGCTTTGAAGTGTGAGTCAAGTGTAGCTGAGTTATTCTGGTGAAGCGCATGTCAATGTGTGTGCCATTTTAGACGTTATGACGTAACTGATGATGTGTGAAGCCTCACTTCTCATCTGTACCAAGTGACTGCTTTGATCTCATTTCTCCCCAATGACTGTATAAAGAAATATTGGATGGCTTGAGGATTCACTGAAATAGTGGGAAAGATGGAAATGAATTTAGCCTTTACAAGCTGGCAGTGGGGTTTTTGTGTAACCCAGCCTCATCTGTGCCCTGTGAAAGATAGTTCTCAAAGGCAGGAGAGATCATAAAAAATTAAATCATCTCAATCCCAACACAGTTGAGCGGTTTTTATTTCTTGAAAATGATCAGTGCATTTACTATTATACATGTTCTTTCGTTTTCACACTGACTACTCGATTTTCACACTTCAAGTTAAAACACAGAAAGTGGGCCTAACCTGACTAATATTTATATATTTGATGCATAGAAAATGTATTTGATTTCTTTTATAGTAATTACTATAAAGGTATGCTTAGACTAAAAAATACAGTCATGGTTTCCCTTTTATAGTGATGCCTAATTTGTAATATACAAATGTTTCTATTTGCTTATTTTACATTCTGGCCAGTAGATGTCGCACTCCAACCACTAGCAAAGTGGTTGCATCGGAAGGGTTCAGTGCTTTATCTCACCATCACTAATATATCCTTCTACTTCAGCGCCACTCGTCGGAGACCCATCAAGGGGGCAGCAGGGAGACCTGTGCAGTACGCATACCCAGACACAGCAGTCAGTCCCACGACCCTGGAGAGACGAGAGGTGGAGCGCCGCCTTGTGCCCATCCTCATACAGGTTTTGGTCTTCCTCATTGTGGTGTGCGTCCTGTACCTTATTTATGTTTGTCTTTGGGACACCTCATTCAGTCCGTTTGTGGCCTTACTGGACAGTCTAAACCAGATGTCAGACAGTGAGGAGGGCCTTTTGCTTCAGACGGAGGTACAGGATACACCAGCACCTTCTGGACAGGAATAACTGTGTGTTTTTTAACTGTCTACATTGATGATGAGATGTCAAGTTACCTTATTTTTGTTGATGCAACCATAATGACTTTGTCCTAGGATGTCTTCAGGGAGCATATGTTAATTTAAACATGATTTGTTATTTACTGCGTTTGTGTGTCTGTATGGGAGCAAACCTCATAGTCAAGTTTTATATTTACGTTTTGCCTATGGATGTTTTGCCAATCTTGTCCCTATAGTTAAAACAATTGTGTAAGCATTGAGGTGCTCTTAAAACTTTAGAGAGCTGCATATTTTGTCAAATGTAAAAATGAGAATTGTGTAATTTGCTAATCCCATTTGTGTAACCTGATGGTGCCTTTTCAAGGAATTGGTATTTTTGATGTGCCTTCATTTTTTAAAAAAAATATTTGAATCATATTTCATTAAAGGATGTTTTGCTTCAAACTTTCTTTTGCAACTGATGATCCTAAAGTGAAAAAGAATACATGCAGATATAAAAAAAAAAAAGAAGGTATTTTTCACATAGTAAAATGTACGTTTACTACATGAGGAACATTACCACTGCAGGTTACTTTCTAACATAATGGTAGCTCTGAATGAATGACTGAACCAGGTGAGAGGGTAATGAAGCTTTGATACCATTATTTTGTAGTAACAGTAAATTCGCTTTCTGACCAGCAGGTGGCTCTCGTTCAACATCCTCAAACTATTTCAGTCTGCACTCAGTCACAGTGAACGAGTTCCGCTGTCACAACAAATAAACAATGACAGAGTCGGGGCAAAAGTTCAAAATATTCAAGTTTTTAAAGATTATGATTAGCAGCTTCCTCATTATAATATTATTGTTATTTACTGTAGCATCTATCAGGACTTTCTCACTGGACGTAAATGCCGGTCTTCAACTCGCAAATTGGGAAAAGACGAAGAACATCTCGCTCGTCATAGACCACCATCAGAGAGAGGAACTAATAGCAAATTTTAAAGGTAATTTGAGTCGTGTTTTAGACGAGTACCTAACCTAGTTAAATGTTCTCGTAACATTGGGGGGAAAGCACGTTAAAGAAATGTGGAGAAGCCACCATTAACGGACAGTGTGTCTCTCAATTCATACATCCAGAGGCTATTCGGATCCCCACTGTGTCTTTCTCCGGGACGGAGAGCAACAACACTGCGCTGCTTGAATTCAACAGGCTCCTCCGTAAAGGTAAAGCTGGCTCTAAAATATTGTGAGAGACTTATTTGTCTTGTACAGTCACGGTTGTGTTTGGTAGTTAACAGTGGCTTCACACACCCACAAAGTTGCGGTGATTTAGCAGAGCAGTTCCAGCTAACTTTACCCAATAGCTAATGTTTAACAGTTAAGCTAACGTTAATATTGCATGCCAAACATGTATGAAAACAGCTACTAAGCTACATTTCAGCTAACGTTAGCTAGCCACGCAGCTGACACATGGACACATGGTGTCAGCAGGGTTTTTGTGCTACGATAAATGGTAACATGGCCGTATTAAGCTCCTATGGGGCCTTCAGGCAATCATTTGTTGTTGGGCCCCCTAGGGTTGTGAAGTGGAGTGGATAGATTGTTCCAGAAATGTTTTTTCCCTATTCTGTATTTCTATCTAAGTTTTTTAACACCTGTAGCATATCCATTCAATTATTCAATCAGCTAATCATGTGGCAGCAGTGCAGTACATAAAGTCATGCAGGTACAGGTCTGGAGCTTTAGTTAATGTTCATGTCAAACATTAGAGTGTTGGTGCCAGACTGGTTGCTTTGAGTGTTTTCTGAAACTGCTGATCACCAGGGATTTTCATATAAAACAGTCTCTAGAATTTACTCAGAACAGTGCATAAAAAATCCAGTGAACCGCAGTTTTGCTGTTGATGAGAAAGCTCAGAGGAGAATAACCAGACTAGTTCGAGCTGACAGAGAGGCTACGGTAACTCAGATATTTTATTTGGTTTTCTTTGATATTAATCCCAACATCTTTTGTTTGTAGACTGTTGGTCTGATTAAAAAAAAAAAAGAAAAAAAAAAAGCCATTTGAATAATAATTAATTTTAGGTTTGGGGATCCAAATTAGAACCTGTTCCAAATTACTAAAAACTGGATACCTGTAAAAACTATTAGTTTAATTTACCTTGCAGTTAAAATAAACATGACGTCATATGAAGAGGACACTAACACTGCCAGTCCAAAGTATCAGGAGCAATGTCTGTGCCTCTGCCCCGCAAAACATTGTGCAATTACGATTTTACATTACCCACAAAGAGCTTCAGGGAATAATGTAGCTAAACCTCTAGTAACAAAGGCCTAGATTCCAAGATCACTTTTCAATTGCATATGCTACATATTTCATTAGGCCTATATTATGTGTGACTATAAATGGGTGGATTCAGTTATTTAATTATTAAATAAAGTGTAATTCCTAAACAATCAAACTTATCAAATTATGCAGACCTAAACAATATGGCGTAGACATAGGGGTTTTGCGACACCTGGCCAGTTGCCCACTTCTCCTTTAGACATCTTACAGTCTTTCATGTGACATTTTAATACAGACTTTAGATTACGTTTACTTTAAATATTTCAAGTTATGGTATTGATTTATCCCAGCCATATGATATATTAATTACTCTCTACTCCAATGCTAAAATATGAAATAGGGTTTGTACTAGCAGTCATTTTTATTATTGATTAATCTGCCAATCTTGTGCCACTTTTGTCAATCGATTAATTAATTAATCAATCCCTTTTGTCTCCAAAATGTCAGACAATAAGTGAAAAATGCCCATCACAATCATACTCTCTTCCCTTGTTTTTTGTTACCAGCACTCCAAAACCCTAAGATATCGAGACTACTGTCAAAGTTAATCAGCAAATCCTCACACTTAAGAAGCTGGAAACTGCAAATTTTTGGCATTTTTGCTTGAAAAGGGACTCAGACAGTAGATTAATTATCAAAGTAGTTGCTGATTGATTTATCTTCCAGCTCTCTATATAGTATAACAAAGTCAGACATGTCAAAATTGTCGTACTTGTAATAGCTCTTTAAGAAGAATTAAATGAGCACTAAATCAGATGAGTACTACTTTTCCATGAAGTTTGGAGGAACTACAAAAGAAGGCTTGTTTCAACCTTTATGACACCAGTTTCTAACATAGCCTTTGTTTTGAGGATAATGCTGATGGCATCTTCAGGATTATTTTCACAGACTCCGGTGCTCCACAGCTATACAACTAGAGTTCCACCTTTAAGCTTGCGCTCTTCTTCCTGTACCAGCTTTCCCAACAGTTTTCTCTTCAAAATTGGTTCATCATCAGTTGGTGGCCAACTACAGCCACCTATTTTGGTTACAAGGATCACAGCCTGACTTGGCGCCATACCTGCTGCTGGCCCACATAGATGTGGTACCTGCTTCAGAGTCGGATGGCTGGGAGGCACCGCCATTTTCTGCCAAGGAGATAGATGGCTTCATATATGGTAGAGGGACCATCGATGACAAGGGCTCTGTAATGGTGAGGGAACAAGTGATATTTTGCGTGATCTCATGGAATTGATTTACATACTTACTTACCTTTCACATGCTAGCAAGGCTAAACTAATATGCCTTATGTCTTCCAGGGAATACTTCAGGCGCTGGAATACTTGCTAATAAAAGGCTATGCTCCACGCAGAGGATTTTACATTGGTCTTGGTCATGATGAAGAAGTAGTTCAACTATTCATACAACTCTCTTGAAATTTTGAACTTAAACAAGAATTAAAATACTATATTTGAACATCTGAATCCTTCTGTATTTCTTTTTAAAGGTCGGTGGTTACAAGGGGGCATTGAACATAGTGCCAATGCTGAAGCAGCATGGTGTGCAGCTGTCGTTTGTCCTAGACGAGGGCCTTGCTGTACTGGATGATGTCATCAGTGGTCTTGAAGGACCTGCTGCTCTGTGAGTTCCTGCCATACTCTAACGTAACAACTCAGCACGATATTTACGGTACAGCTTTGGCTTGGTAAAAAGTCCAAGCCTGACATCACAACAAAACTCACAAGCATAGTATAAAATTGCATGTGTCCTTTAAATTGTGCAGGTGACTGATTGACATTCTGTGTTTTACGTGTGTGCTCATTGTTTACAGAATTGGGATAACGGAAAAGGGCTCGGCCACTGTAAAGCTGAGTGTGTCTATGGCCCCTGGTCACTCCTCAATGCCTCCCAGAGAGACCAGCATTGGGATCTTGGCTGCAGCAGTCAAAAGGTGAGAGGGACATACAATGTATTGTGGTTAGTCTCTGTGTTCATGCTGTACCATATGTTTGACTACAAATTTTATATTTACCATCAGACTCTGACTGTCATTTTAATTCCTCAGACTAGAGGAGAACCCCATGCCAAGGTTATTTGGTCATGGGCCTGAGCGTGGAACCTTTGAACACCTAGCCCATAAGGTAAGGACAACCAGCTTCTTGTCCACTACTCATCACAACTTGTAGTATTTTAGATCTCTCCCTGTTTAACTTGATCTTTGACTTCAGTTCAGGCTTCCAATGAAGTTCATAATGTCGAATTTGTGGCTGTTCTCCCCACTCCTTGGCAGGTAATTACATCCTAAAATTTATTCAGCATGTTTTCTTCTGACTGTGTCCTGTCTAATTAGAAAGTTTTGTATTTCAGGGTACTGGAAAGAAAACCAGACACTAATGCTTTTGTAAGGACAACCACAGCAGTTACCATGTTTAATGCAGGAGTTAAGGTACAGTTAATAATCATAAAATTGAAGGTTATTCACAGGAAATTAGATTTCAAGCAATTCAGTTTGCCTTCGAAAAATCCTAAATTCTTTCCCAACTTGTAGGTGAATATCATCCCTTCCCTAGCTGAAGCTTATGTAAATCTACGAATCCACTCAGCGCAGTCATTACAAGAGGTAGAGTCAGAAAAGTAATTCTCCTTTTTGAGAATTCCTGATGTCACCATGAATTTTCTGAGTTGAATAAAATGTGTGCTATCTCATATAGGTCCTGGACCTCGTCCGTTCCACAGTGGGTGACCAGCGAGTGAAGATCGAGCTTGTTGATGGGTTTGACCCTCTGCCTGTCAGCTCAGCTGATGAACAGTCCTTTGGATTCCAGATCATTAAGAAAACTGTGTTGGACATGTTTCCAACAATTACAGTTGCTCCAGGTAGAGTCCAGACAGATTTAGTTGCATAAAAATTAGGTTGTTAAGGTATTTAAATATTCCATTATTGTTTTGATATAATGTGCAGGTATCTGTATTGGGAACACAGACAGTCGACACTTCAAAGACCTGACCAGTGATATCTATCGCTTTGCCCCTGTCTGGTTTAAACCAGGTGATGCTAAGAGGTAAGAATCTAATATGTCTAACCCTGATTATAATTACTCTCAGGAGAAGTCTCAACAAAACCTGCTGCAGTCATTACAATGAACTGCTTGTGCAGTGTAATGATTGGCAAACTGTAAAACAACTTCTTGAACAAAAGAGTGCTTTCTGCTGTTGGTCACACGTTTAGATCACAAACTTGTGATGTAAATATCTGACCTACTTGTACTGTGCAGACGTTGAGCTCCTCTGGAACAAATACAGTAAGAAGAGTTTTAACAGCTTGCCCAGTTTATCCCTCAGCTTTGGTAATAAAAAGCCATTATCCTGCAAGAACAGTGACAGGCAATCGAATAAAGGAAACATATTTTCCTCGTCTTAGATACTGTGAATGAATGCTATTAGCGGGAAAAACATTTTTTTTTCTTTCTTAGATTCCATGGCATCAATGAAAGGATTTCCAAAAAGAACTACGAGGAGCTTGTACTATTTTACTTCAGCCTGATTCAAAACTGTGACATTCAGAACCTCCCTGAGCCTCACAGCTCTGTCCATGAACTCTAAGGAATTGACAGTATTGATAACAAGTCAAACAAATGCAAACCTGTGTTAATGTTAGTCTGATTTATTTCAAAAGCACTCAACAGGACCATGGCCTGACTTACTCCTCTTTTTTTTTTTCAAAAGCAAATGATTCTACAGAGAGAGATTCTACATTTTAGAGCCAGAAGATAAACTTTTTTCAGTGGCCTGTAATTTTAGGGTTACAGTAAAACAGTTACAGTAACTTACTAATTTCAATCTTGTGTGATCAGATACATAGTCTTGATCTTGTTGCAATGAAATATTCACGGGTCAAGTATATGAATCTCCTTTTGTGTTTGTGATGAAGATTGCTACCAAATTATTATGGTATAATTTGATGAAGTGACTGAATAAATGCAGTTGTGCTGCTAATAATACTGTATTACTTAAAATGATCAACTTCTAAGAAATAATTAAATGCTGATGCTGATGATAGACGATACAAAAATATGCTGCTTACTGAAGAAATTCTGAATTGTGATATTTAAAAAGTATTTTATTACTTCTTGTTGAATCAAGTACAGTAGTTTATCTCTTGAAGAATGCTGTAGTATCACTGACTGACACATTAAAATGAATCCTGATTTGTACAGGGGATTTGAATTTGCGCACAAGCTTGACACAAACATACAACAAAAACAACAAATACAACAAATAACATAAGTGATGAGCTTAGGGTTATGTTATATATTTTATTTAATTCTGAAAATAGTACACAACCATGACATCACAATTTCCCTGTATTTTATGTTGTATTGAAAAAGAAAAAAGGTTATTCTTACACTTCTACTATCTAAATAGGAGGCATTCAGCTAGACTTCATTACATAACACCGCATAACAAGAACCTGACATTAAAATGAAGCAAAGCATTTTTAAAATCTTGTTCTGAATAGTGAGAACAAGTAAAGCTTTATGTAAAGCATCCTTTTTGATTGTATATATATTACCACTCCTGGAGTATTAATGATAGACTCCCACTTAAGGGCGTCCACAGCATTTGCAGCTATCTCGGAAGACTAAACCAGAGGGACAGTTTTGGACATATGTAATGTCATTGAAACAATTGTAAAAAGAATTTAGGTTACTAGGATTGGGATAGAGCCCGCTGGTCTTTCCTATGCAGAAATTTGGATCAGATTGCTCAGCACAGGATGCGGTGGTGGCAGTGGTAGTGGTAGTAGTAGTAGTGGTTGGCTCATCTTTGGTGACTGCAGGTGGAGTCTCATCAATGGTGGGAACTCCTATATCTAGAGAGGTTTGTGGAAGGTGAGAAAAAATGAGTCACATATTGTAAGGTAGTGTTATCTGATCATTACATGGTCTGACTATGACTGAGCTTAACTGCTGAAATTTTGCACAAAATTTCATTTTTATACCTCTACCATTCTGCAGGATAGGATAGTTTTTTTTTTTCTTTTTTACAACGTTTCGGTTTACCTGACACCAGAAGACTATGCAGATGGCTGATTAGGGGGTATTTTCCCTGTTTACAAAACTGCCCATTAAAATCATCCAGGTCCAGAGACCAGACAAAGACGCCTCCGAAGTTGTTTTCTGTTAGGTAGCTGACCTGTGAGAATTCGATAGTTCATAGTCATGATAACACAGCAATGGTTTAACTGGATGTTTCTACAATTAATCATTTTCTAAAGAATTATTGAACAATAGTTTTAATGAAACGAATGGCTACCTTAGCATTAATGCTGTCTTTATTGTCAAATCCGACCCACTGATTTCCTGTGGTACCATATGGAACTTTCTGGTCTGCAATCCACTGGACAGTTTTTCCCTCAAGATTAAGACAAACCTGAAAAGAAGAGTCAAATTTTAATCCAACATATTAGCATAATAAGAAACATGACCCACCACACCATAAAATCTGTATGTATGATTAAGCCTATTATTTAGATTGATTAGAGATTTTAGTTTCACCTCATAATAGGACCAGAAGCCTGCCTCCTTGGTGTAACGACCCGCATTACCAGCACCACTGATTGGTGCTCCAATCTCACTGGATTGAAACGACAGAGTAAAGGTTCGCCCATATGCAGCAAATCCCAAAATCAGCTTTTCAGCAGGTACCCCCTGGTCTCGCCAGTACTGCATTGCAAAGGCCTGAAATGTGGAAAGAATAAAAAATTGGCTTTTGGAACTGTTGTGTTTGGCATATGTCACTGTTGATTATAGGTATTACTTTGTGGCTCTGTTGGCATATACCATTTATGAATACATTATGTAATTTAAAGGAGCTATTTGCAAGTTTTGCTTTTGCTACATGGCTATGGTTGCTATTTTTTTTTTGTGTGAAAAAATTAGGGACTCTACATGGCCAACGTTAACATTACCGGTTTTGCCAAGAGCTTCTGCCATAATTGTATTTATAATACAAGAGGTTAGATTACACTTTCTGCTCGTTCTTCAGGTAAGACTGGATGCTATAGTTACTTGGTATTGGAAAGTTACAAGATGGGCCGAGCAGGTGGGTGTGAGCTGGTTAGCATGCTAACTTCAGCATAAGAAAAGGAGTGATAGAAATAAAAGCAAAACGAGGGTTGCTTTCAACAACTTGAGACAGCTCTTGATGAATAAAGGAAGATTTTTTGATGTTGAACTTACAAAGTTTCCTCTAGGCTGGTAAGTAAAGAGTTTTTAATGCTAATGTTGGCTATGTAGCAGTAGCAAAATATAAAAATAGCTCCTTTAAAAAGTATATGCTACTAATAAATGAATGCCACTTGTGTGTCACTGAAAGGTACTGCCTCCTACTGGCAGAGTTCCATTTAAAACTGGTCATTTATACTACTATTTGTGCTGGCAACCATCATTACTTTATATCAATGCTGCTATTGGCATGTAGTTATGTTTCTCTCACATTCAAGTCACATTCATACTGGGATATGATACTTTAATGGTATTGAATACCATTTGGTCATAAATGAACATGACCAATTCAATCTGAAAATTAATACATTGAAACAAATTCATATTAAATTAAATTTGTTTTCTTAAAATAACCTCTTAACCCTGCATCAGTTTTAGCCCAATAATAATCAATTGACAAATGATGGTATGAAATCCGCTACTCACAGTATTTAAGTAAATACGACCTCCAGTGTCTTGGGATCTCTGGTTTAAAGGGCTGTGATGTCCTGTGACCCTGTCCCAGGTGCCATGAAGGTCAAATGTCATCACATTAATGAAATCCAGGTACCTAAACAAAAAACAAACAAACAAACAACAAAAAAACACAATTGTAATCAAGTGCAGCAACACATGACAGCTAGTCACTGGAAATATAAAAATAGCGGAGAATTTACTTGGCAATCTCTGCGACTTCATAACTGGCATCGATGGTTCCTTTGCCAGCAGCCACAGCAGCAGTGACCAGTAATCTGGGACGGCTACTTGCTTTTCCCTCAGCCTCGTAAGCAGATAGGAGTTCCTGTACAACATACAAGCATGGGTCAGTCTGCCTTGATTAAGTGTCAAATTACATAAATAAGTATTCAAAACCATATCCATCATATATAGTATATTTATGATGACTGTCTCAAAGAAATTATATTTCTGACCTTGCACAACAGCGTGAATCTCTGTTTGTCCTGCTGATGGCTTCCTCGTGTACCGGGGAATTCCCAGTCCAAGTTTATCCCATCAAAGCTGTATGTCCTCAGTAGTGCGATAGATGACTGGATGAACTTTCTTCTGTTGGCTGCTGTTGATACCATGGTGCTGAATCTGGACATTAAAACAAATGGTGCTGAAGTAGACATGCCACGTATTCAATTAGATATTCTTAGGTATGTTTTATTTACGTATCGCACTTTTGTGTGCCAAAGTTCCAGCCACCAACTGCCAAAAGGGTTTTGAGATCCGGATTCCTATGTGAGAATAGAAGTTAAGCAGTGGTTATTTAATACTCCAAAATAAAAGACAGTTTTCAGCATATTTAATGAATTAAGCACTGACCTAGATTTCAGTCCATTAAAGGTTTTGTAGCTTTGTGTGTCACCTCTGTCAGAGGGGACCAGCTGATTGGCATAATTAATGCCAGAAAAAGCAAAGATCAGATGGGTACACAGGTTTGGATCAATATCTGAGAGCGTGAACTTCCCTTTCGCTGCTCTATATTTGGACCAGCTGGTGTAGTAACACACTAGTTTGGAGGACGAAGCTGAAATATTTAAGACATCAATGAGTTACTTTGAGATGAATCTCATTGTTTAACAACATTAATTATTTATGCATTTCATTTAAGATTTTTTGTTATAGCAAAATACAAACTCACACAAGTTGATGACGCTTAAACAGAGACCTTCAAAGAGACAGACTCAGTCAGTATTTGGTTAAAACAGCCTTTGTAAACAATTTGATCAGTTTAAAAAGTCCTTTACCTGCAATTAGAATTGGTGCCCTCATGTTTATACTGTGTGAACACACAATTGGAAAAAAGAAAAGAAAAACAAATTTAATTATATTGTTAATAAAAAAAGTATATGCAAACCATAATAATAATTACTCAGACACAAATAATTTCACTGTAGTAGTTTGTTGCTGTATTTAATTAACAGAGGTGGACAAAGCACATAACTCATAACTTACTTGAGTCAAAGTTTAGATATGCCTCCTCAAATATTACTCCAGTAGAAGTGAAAATTGTTGAGTCAAATATTTACTTGAGTAAAAGTACTGGAGTACTTGCTTTTAAAAATACTTATTCAGAAGTAAAGTTTTTTTAGTATCAACAACTTGTTGTATTGTTCCACAATTACAGAACCTAATGACTCTGAAACAACCTACTGAATGCATTGACTGTATCCTGTATAATAAAAAACTTGTAAAATAAACAAAGCCCAAAGAAATGGCCATAAAAACAAGTGAGTCAACCAAGCCACAGCCATTATTATTTTTGTATTAATTTTTTTTATTGAACAGACCCACCCCCCACAAAACAGCATGGCAGTATTCTGACACAGCTCGTAGCCATCGATAGTCACTGTCAAGTTCAAACTGAGCTATTCAAAAATGCAGCAAGTGTAACATGACCGACAGCGTAGGAGTTGGCTGTGATTGTTTTTTCTCCTGTGAAGAACATAGTGTACGGTCTATCCCATTTTCAGAAATAAAAGAAAATTCAACCCGCTGACTAAAAGCTTTGCTTCAAAGTAACGAGTACTTCATGGAAATGTAGTGGAGTCCAAAGTAAAATATTTGTTGCATGGAATAAAAGTCCTAAGTTTCCAAAAAAAAAAAAAAAAAATGCAAGTGAAGTACAGATACTCAAAAAATATACTTCAGTACAGTACTCAAGTAAATGTACTTTGTTACTGTCCAACCCTGCTAATTGATAATACATTTAAAGTCACATAAACTGCAAAACTTTGAGTTAAGTTCCCAAACTATGTAAATTCTCAAACAAACAAATGAAACAAAAATATCTTTTGTGTCAGTGCTAATGGCATAAACATCATTTGATGAGACTCCCAGATGCTGTGAATGTCATGACATGTCAAATGTGAAGTCAATTCACTGAAGCGAGAATTGAAAATTTATTTGCTAGTTTGATATGCTACCAAAGAATACTAATAGATAAGAATGGACTAAAATACCCATCATTAATCCTCATCCTTGAAGGACTGTGTATTTACTAAATATGTACGCTGTGTGTTCATCTGTAGAATTAGCAAAGGGCAGAAGAGATAGATTAGAATGTTTTATTACAACATCCAGTCAAAAATTACTACAACAATATTTAACAAAACAAGAAATGATGTAATATAAGGACTTCCATAATAAATCAAAATTGTAAGGACTGTAAAGGACAAACTCAGCAGCTGAAAATACAAATGTATCCACTGAGATTTTAATTAAATTAAACTCTTTCTTGACAGAGATTAGAAGATTATGATATTTTATACTATTTTAATCCCATAGGATGCTACATGTCTCAGGTGTTGCCAGAATTGATCTGATTTAACATATTGGTTACTGCATGGCCTTTAATCAACCTATTATGGTTGGCCCCTTCATTGCAGCATGTCTGACCATGAAAATAACATGAGGTATAACATGAAAATAGAAAATGCAGGCACTTCCCTGTTAGTTCAAGCACCCGTCAAAATGTGTCTGTTTGTTTAGTTTGATAAAATTACTGCAAGATTTTCTCAAATTTTTTAAAAATAATTTAATAATATTAAAGAAGGGTAATACTTACAAGTATGTTGGAGATGGAGGCTACTACAGTCTCTCTTTACTGTGGCTGAGGATGTGTGGTGATGAGGCCTTATAGTAGACAGCTAAAGGAGGTGGAGCATATTTAGAGGGACAATTGATACAATGTTGTCTATGTTGTCTTAATTTTTTAAAAGTTATATGGGGAACATAATAGAATAGGCTCACATAATATATACAGAGTCATCAATTTTGTGTTTCAGAATTAATTGCAATTTCAAATACAAATCCATTTAAACCTTTTTAAACACTTGTATAACAAACCTTGATAAAATGTTATATTAACTATTTTTAAACCTGCTAATCAATTTGAGAATCACTATGAGGTTCAGTCTTATGTTTTATTTCCTTGTTGAAGGGTTACATCTTTATTGACATTTGTATAATAGATTGTGCTGTTAATTTAACAGCATAATTACCATGCATACCAGGATAATGTCAGTCACACCTAAGCCAGTTCATTCTATTATGGAATTTATGTCATGCTGTAATTACCATGATTTTTTTTTTTTTTTAAAGGTTACACGTGTATGTTTGACACAACATGTGCACTTCCTTTTTTTTCTTTGAGTTTACTATTGGCTATATTATTGGCAATGGCTTTAGAAAGAAATCAAACTAATTAACTAATTCAGGCTAATTGATTAACACCATAATACTCTCTTATTCTGTTATGTCATTCTTGCTTAAAAAATTTTTGTGGTGTGTTGCTAATCAGACTAAATAAAGACACTCCTACTAGTGAAGATATATGTTACTACCAGATTTCATCTGGTCTGTGGAGTTGGATGGCTAACTGCCAATCATGGATGGCTAAACTATTAGAATGTGAGACATGTTATGAGATACCACAACAGTATATTACTTTATCCTAGATATATCGATGAGTACAGAAACTTATCTATGGGTCACAAGGCAATTGTAATGATGTAAAATGTTTTGAAGCCCCCCTCTGATGAAAATCAACTTTTTAACCTTGTTAAAATGTCCATAAGGTGTTACTTATATAATACAAGACATATCATGAGTGAAATATGCAATCAGTGGCATGACTTAGTATTGTCATCCTTGGAGCTGCAGTGAACCAATGGCAGTCTAAAAAAGGGATTCTGACATCCTGGGTTTTATACGTCACAAACCTAAGGAACCAGGCAAAATAAACCTGAAACCTTGTACTAGTACAGAGAGCAAGAGGTTGTGTCAGCACAACCCCTAACAGTGTGTCAGCCACTGCCGTTACAAGCTAACAAACTACTTAGTAAAGTAAAAGATGCTAACTACGCTTACCATTCTGATATGTCTGCTAGATGCCAGTTTTGGTCACAACAGACTCTTCATCTAAGTCTGGGTCTGACTGAGGGTCAAACATGTGGCTGAGTCTCTCCGAGCAAGCAGCAGTGGTGGCTGAGGCACAAGGCTTGATCCAGAATTTCTCAATGAGGAAGTAAGCAGCTTTTTTCAGTTATTTTTATTTTACTTTTTATGTAGGAAAATTGTGTTTAACAACATATTAATTTTACATAGGTTAAAATGTGTCTGGCGGGGAATTTTAAAAGGAAACTCAATGTGCTTTATATTAAAATTCACACGGTATCAAGTATGGTAACATAAGCTCTTATCAGACTATTTTGACAAATCATGAAAAGTAAACAAAGTTGTAGGTACAAGATTTTAAAAAACAAGGGGGTGGGAAGTATTAGTTATTTGACAGTTTTGGAGTGAAACTAAATATTCTGTTTGTAGAAAGTAAGTAAGGAAGTAGAAAGAGTTAAAAACAAACAAACAAACTATTATTATTGTGACATGTGATGAAGGTCCTCCTTGTTGCCGTAAGTACAGCATGGTGCGGAATGTACCGACATACCTGCGTTAAATCCCTCCTTAAAACCTATGCTGTGCTGCTTCTTATGTAATGATTTTTTAAATAAATCAAAACATACTCAACAATAGTGCCATCATCTCAGATTATTTTCTTGCAGCTTGTCATAATCAACATTGACAGACAACTAATTTGATGATGCAGTTAAAAAGTCCTGCTGTTTGCCAACACACACTTGCCAAACCTGGCTTATACCTTGTGTGTGTGAAAATGTGTGCTGTAGATGTTTTCCTTTATAAGACATACATGTGTAAAGGTTTTCTCTAACCTGTTGTCTTACTAGAGCTACATTAGAACATTCTGGAACAAACAGTACATTTAGACTAATCAAAACATCAGGAAGGAAGGAAGGTGCAGAAACCTTGATAATACGAATATATCAGCATTATATAAACATTATGTTATGTTATGGATTATGTATTGGCATGGATATCTCTGGAGCCCTGCATCAAAATGCAAATCCAAATGAAGCAGAGTGCTCAATGGCTTTCACATACGGTAAGTCCAGGCAACCTTTAGGTGTTCTTGAAGATGGTCACCGAAAATAAAAGGTTCTTTGGGTACTCTTAGCTAGAGCAAGCAGAAAAGTTATATTAAAAGCCTTTATCTAATTAGGCATAAATAAAATGCTGGCTGGATTTGACCTGTCAGGCTGGAATTTGT